CGAACACTATTCTGTTGTATTCTGTTGTATGTTGATATTCTATTGTATGTTGATATTCTGTTGTATGGTAGTGTTTGGCGGATAAGAGAAGTACCTACGAGTAGCTTTATAATACGGTGTTCGAGTTATCTATCTGTGGATCTAGCGTGGACTCTAAATCAATGCAACCTGTTACTACCCCTATAACAAACGGGTGCCACTAGCGCACTCACTAAACCGAGGGCCTGCGGTAGCGGGAGCAAATCCCCTCGCTTAGACGATCAATACAGCTGCTGGCCAAACGAGCGGGGCAGTCCAAGATGGCGGCCCGCCCACGCTGTCACACGCTGCCGGGGCCGCTATGTCACGACCTATCACGCACCCACGCCAGCTGGTCAGGGGATTAGCACCACCTTCCCCAATTAGCGGCGTGTACGTGACGTGATTAGCGGTGCTGGCCCTAGCGTGGAGGCGAAGCCCGGTGATGGCCCTGCGGCTAATTCAGAGCGACTTTAGAACTGCTCGACCGTGGGGTTTTCGCCGGGTGGCGGGCCGGCTGGATTACATGCGTTAAATGCACCGTGAAAGGCTGTTAGCGCCTGGAACAGCAGCCATGTTGACCGCTCGTGACGCGTTTGCGTGGATAGGCGGAGCCACCTTCCGGACGATGGCATGGCAGAATAGCGGGTCGCTCCCGTTAGGGGCCGCCACCGTCCAGTGCGAGCAGGGTGAAGCCAAGCGAACGCGGATGCGCTGGACGCGGTGGTTGGTGGGACATGGCACGTGGTTGCCATGTACCACGTGCGTGGGGGGGCGCCTATAAAAACGGATGCGTGAGCTGCCTCGAGGAATTCGCTCCCGACTCCAGACGCGACCGCCTGTATATTTGTAACTGTGAGGAACGAAATTAAACGATCATCAGTCATGGTATATATTCTCTGACTTGTCTTTGTCTATGTCTTTTGGCTACACATACGACATCATAATCTACAACTGTATAGTAACGTAAACCTCTTCGTTACAGAGGGACTCTTCAAGTACCACGCAAGAATGAAGGTATCGATGCACAGTATGTCAGGCATACTGTACGGGCTACTAACCGTGACAGCAATCGCGATAATCGCATACTGCGGGTGGAAACGCAAGTGGTGCGAGACAGCCCACACAGCACTGGAACAATCACCACAACAACAGCAACAACAACAGCAACAACGGAACGAGGCACCACCAACAGCAACGGCACCGATATACCCTACATTAGCACCTCATGAACTCACCTTCGCGTTGCTACGACCGGAGGGGGATGCACAGCAATAGACAGGACAGAAACGGCAGCCGAGGAGATAACAGCGAGCACAGCTTTGAGAGGAATAGGTGGAAATACTATACAAATAACATCATAAGACACAACGCAAGGGTCTGTTCCTTTCAACGCCGGAGTGAGCTGAGAGCGAAAGGCTTCGTGAGGTCACGAGGAGAGACGTACCGGAGGTACGTCACTTTAAAGGGAGGGGCACGTGTAACCGAGCACATAGTACGAAAAGGAACGCGAAAAGATGACGTAACCAACCACCAGGCAGTGCCAGCCGGCCGAGGGAGGTACATGACATCACTATTCCCAGTTCGGGGGAGGACAACAGCAGCAGAACAGGAAACAAAAGAAGTTGGCGGGTACGCACATCGGCCGAAAGGACCGAGGTCGCACGCGGACGTTGGGCAGCATAAATAAGCCGAATTTAACACAGTAAAGGATAGTGTGCTGGGACCAGCCGAGCCGAAGTCGACCAAGACTCCTCCGACGAGATGGCATATACGTAACTATGGTTTTTCTTTGTATGTTAGTTGATTGTATAGACTGTTTAGATTGTTGTTAGAGTAAATGGTATAGAATTTTGACGGGACAGTATTGTGGGTTAATAATATAGTTTAGCGTTGTTGGCAGTAGATGTGTTGCGGAGATGATTTAAGCGAGACGTACGGGTAACGACATTAGTAACAGCGATTGTAGGCAAGCGCTGTGTAGTCATTAGAATACATGACGAATCGACAACGAGTGGGGTGTTGGGATTGAAGTGTACGGTGATGGAGGGATATTGATTAATAAATATTATGCGTGTGTGTATCATATAAATTACTGTGTTGCGTTGTATATCTGTAAGGCGGATTATTACCTTCTACTCAGTCCGGGGATTGCATGAGACACGACCACACTCTACAAGCAGTTTTGTGCCCTTATGGCACTAACCGGGCAGTCGCTAGTATATACTGTCCCGGCTAACCCGGTGCCACGTGTTACGTCCACCAATTGACATTGTCAGGAACAAGCCATGAACGACGGAGACGGGCGACAGCCCGAACAGCAGCAGCCACCGACACTGTCGTCTCCGCTGCCGGCAGACGCCGGCGCCGCCTGCGCTTGCTCTATCTGCGCCAGGGCCACCTACCGCACTTGCACCTGCGCCCTCTGCGCCAGCGCACCATACACGTGCACCGACTGCGTCAGCGCCAACATACCGTGCACCTGCTTCGCCTGTGCTGAGGCCGCCCGCGCCTGCATGGCCTGCACGGAGGCCGCCCGCGCCTACGCTCGCGCTGGGGCCACCTGCGCCTGCATAGCCTGCGCCGTCGGCGGCGCCTACGCCACTGCCACGCGCGCACGCGACACCTGCACCTACGCCACTGCCACCCGCGCAAGCGCCACCGGCGCCTACGCCAGTGCCGCCTACGGGCGCAACACCTGCAACTGCGAGGCCTGCGTCGCAGGGCACGAAGGACACGGGCTCTCCGCCCCGCCAGGAGCCCGATTCCTTGGCATGGCGGCGCTGGGTCCGGAGCCAGACTCCACGGACGGCCCACGGGACAACGGCCCCCGGAATGGCGATAGGCCGTCGCCATTCCCGGAGGCGCAATACGTTGGCTCGTTTATCGGGACGGGCGCACCCGACGACCCGATGGTCTACGAATTTTTTGTCGGCGAGGACGACGACCCGGAAACAACAACCTTTAATCCGGACCACATCCGCCAGATTGCACG